AACTCTTATGCCCATGTGTAATAGATATGAAATTGTTAGGATATTCATCCAATATCCTAAGAGAATTACTGGTCTATTCCTATTGGTTAATTCCTACTGGTCAATTTTATGGTCGTCCTAGATATCAATGTCACGTGCTCCAATGTTGTTTCTCATTGGTTGTCCTGACTATCAATGTCACTTCAAATGTTACTTCCTATTGGTCGTCTTAACTGTCAATGTCACAGACTTCGATGCTGTTTCTTATTCGACCAAAATGTATAAATACTCATTATCTATTACGTTTTATGACCAGGACCAGGACCAGGACCCGGTCCAGGATCCCTAGTCCGGAATCCTGATTCGCTTCTGGACTCGGACCTCGTACTTTCTGGATACTTGTAGAATACATGTTCTACTTCATATCAAGTCTTGTCTTCTTATTTTCACTCAATATAGGGGTTGGGATAATCGGATTTGAGTAGCATGTATGTCATCGGATCCTCGCTCCTCGCTCTCGTTTTCCGACTGGGTGAACTCGAAATAGTTCAAGTATATCAAAATGACGTGTTTACGTGCAGGCTAAGTTAGTAGATTCGTTTACAAATCATCTGTATTTATAAGTTTATTTATAAAAAACGAAGATAACGAATACTGCTGGTATGGATCATTTCAATTCATATAGTGGAAGTTTTACACTCAGAGATACATCAAATTAGTCAACTACGGCAAGAATATATTTTTTGAAATCATGAATCGATCAGTTTTAGATCAGCATTAGAAATCTGGAAGCACTGAAAGATGGCTGTTTCGTCCTGGTATGGGAATCATCAGTAGCAGTGCGCATCCACGACTACTGCACCTCCTGGGATTGGAACCCAGTGCCGTCGGTGATGCGCGCGAACGCCTAAACCTCAGAACCACTGGGTCGGCATACGATGGTGTTAATGTCCAACTCCGATCAATCTAGGAATTCTGAGCGACCTCACCCATTTGTCTTAAGTAGTTACTGCCTAAACCCGATAGGGTTGAGCTCCAATGGTCACGTCTTCTCACTAGAACTCCGAGAATTTCCTCATGAAGCTAGTCACTAGTGAGCATATTCTAGGATTCATATATATATGATGCTCTCATCTTGTTACATACTGCGATGCATACAATTATCTAAGCTAATAAATAGGAATGATAAGAAGGAATTTTAGCAAAATAATCAGAAAGTGTAGTTGATCTGAAAATACTATGATGGATTTGTGCTATACAAATTCGAACAATCTAATCGCGCAAATAAACACCTTCTGTAAAAGCATTTTTTATACAGAAATTAAATGAAAGTTTATGAAGAAAACGTAAGGTGATAATTGTAAAAAATTTTCATACATAAAATGCCTTGAGGTAAATGCAGTCCAGAGATTAGGCGTTCGTCCACAAGACCAAAGGTCTTGAGTTCGAATCCTGCGAGATACAGGAGTCATGGATGCACACTGCCACTGATGAATCTCATACCAAGATAAAATGGCCATCTTTCAGTGCTTCCAGGTTTCTAGTGGCGGTCAAACATTGATCGGTTCATGATTTCAAGACAGTCACTCAACGATCTTCCAACAACCATATCATACAAGTGTGTATAACCAGATTGTTCGACATTGTATAGCAGAAATACATCACATCAACTATGCTTTTCTCATTGTCTTATCGAAATTCATCAAAAAGGGATTATAATTATGTTAGGATATTCATCCAATATCCTAAGAGAATTATTGGTCAATTCCTATTGGTTAATTTCTACAGAAATCATCAATCAATCATTGTTAGATCACTGTTAGAAACCTGGAAGCATTGGACGGCCGTTTCGTCCTGGTACTGGACTCATCAGCAGTGCGCGCCCACGACTCATGCACCTCGCAGGATTCGAACCTGGTACCTTTTGTATTGTGCGCGAACGCCTAACCATCGGACCACTGGGCCGGGATCTTAGATATCAATGTCACGTACTTCAATGTTGTTGCTTATTGGTCGTCCTAAATTTCAATGTCACTTCAAATGTTGTTCCTATTGGTCATCTTAACTATCAATGTCACAGACTTCGATGCTGTTTCCTATTCAACCTGAATGTAAGTGAGACTATCTCGGAAAAGGATGGTCTTATTATCCATTCTCAATCTAGGAGGCTGGACCGATGGGCAGAACACTTTAGGGATCAGTTCAACTGGCCTTCAGCCACTCTTCGGTTGCCCACGATCTCCAGTCATCCTGAATGGCAAATCGATTTAAGTCCTCCCAGTTTACATGAAGTTGAGAAAGCTATAGGAAATCTAAGGAGAGGTAGAGCGGCAGGTCCTGATAGGCTTACCCCTGAGATGTTTAAGGATGGTGGTCCAGTTTTAACGGTTAAACTGACCGAGATCCTAGGTAGAATCTGGGAAATGGACGTAATCCCATCTGACTGGTCTCAGTCGCTAATTGTCCCAATCTACAAGAAAGGACAGAAGTCCTCTTGTGACAATCACAGGGGAATAAGTTTAACTAATATAGTTTCTAAATTGTTAGCCTCGATTATACTTAGACGTCTAACTAGAGCTCGCGAAGAGCAGACTCGAGAAAACCAGGCTGGTTTTCGACCTGGACGTGGTTGTATAGACCACATCTTCACACTACGACAGGTCCTGGAACACAGACACACATTTAGACGTCCGACAATAGTCGTGTTCCTGGACTTTAAGGCGGCATTCGACTCAGTGGATCGTGAGGTTCTGTGGCAGTGTCTGTCATTGAAAGGTGTACCAAAGAAGTACATTAACCTTATACAAGCACTCTACTCGAACACAACTGGTCGGGTGAGAGCATATGGCGAACTGTCATCTGAATTCTCTACATCAAGTGGTGTCCGTCAGGGCTGCCCACTCTCTCCATTCTTGTTCGACTTTGTCGTAGACATCCTGTTAGAGTTAACATTAAGCTCGTCAGATTTTTCAGGGGTTGACCTTCTACCAGGAAAGTCGCTTACTGATCTAGAATATGCCGATGACATTGTCCTACTTGGCGAAGACGCTGACAAAATGCAGAGTCTTCTGACTACCATAAGCAACAATGCGAGCATGTTCGGGATGCGGTTTTCCCCCTCGAAATGCAAAATGTTGCTTCAAGACTGGGTTGCTTCGGCACCTGAACTAGTGATAGGGAGTGAAGTAGTCGAGCGTGTAGATCACTTCACTTATCTGGGGAGTCTCATCAGTGCTGACGGTCTGGTGACTGACGAAATCTCAGCTCGGATACAGAAAGCTCGATTGGCTTTTGCCAACCTGCGTCACTTATGGCGTAGGCGTGATATCCGTTCGCTAACCAAAGGGCGGGTGTACTGCGCAGCAGTTCGTTCCGTTCTCTTATATGGCTGTGAAACATGGCTGTTAAGAGTAGAAGATGTTCGTAGGTTACTAGTATTCGATCATAGATGTTTAAGAAGCATTGCTCGTATATCGTGGGACAGCCGAGTAAGCAATGCCGTCGTTAGGAAACGAGTACTAGGTAACGATGGCAGATCAATAGATGAAGTGGTGAAACGTCATCAGTTGAGGTGGTTGGGACACGTGTTACGTATGCCTAACCACCGACTGCCTCGACGAGCTATGTTTTGTGGTGTAGGAGTAGGTTGGAAGAAAGCTAGGGGCGGCCAGACCAAAACATGGCAGAAATCCATGAAGTCCCTGACAAGTGGACTGAGTCATGTTGGTAGATGTAGACTACCTGGTTGGGGTCCGCGAGACGAAAGTCATCAATGGTTAGAGACCTTGAACGACATGGCTCAGAATCGTTCGCAATGGCGCAAGTGCATCCATTCTTTGAGCTCTCTCAAATCCTAATCTTCTGGATTAGCCAGCACCTCTACCTTTGTCTTTCTAACCTTATCTCACTGGATTATATTTTTTGAATAATATCTTCGAACCCTAGTCTTCTTTATTACGATTAATACCTCTACTATCGTTATCACCATGGGATTTGATTTGACATTTGCGTCTCTGTGCTAATAATGTGGTATGGCAACATGAACTTATGTACATACGTACGAAGTTCTACGTTGCAACTGACTGACTATTCAACCTAAATGTATAAATATGCATTATCTGTAACGCTCTATGACCCTATTGAATACGTTTATTTGGAACACACCACAAAACAAAGCGAAGAAGCAGTGAATAAAACGAACGAAGCCACATGAACTGGAGAAGCCTGTTGAGCCTATTCCTAGGATTACAATGCGAACGAATGGGCGAAGGGAGCGAATGAACAGGCGAAGCGCGTTGGAGAAGGCTAATGAGCCAACTCCAGGAGATAGAGCGTGACTAAGAATATATAGTCGGAAAAATATAAGACAGACATCTGAAAAGCGAAATAGGTATGAATAAAAGCGACGAATGGTTTATAAGGTCAAATGACACGTCATGTGAGCTCCTCATACAAACCAGACAATAATAAGAACGAATGGTACATATAAATTGTTGCAATACAAATTAAGGCTTGGTTAAATAAATTATTAATCGAAATGGCTTAACCAAATTCAAATGTAAGCGAACACGAATATATGTAGAGGCACTACAACCCGAATCCCTAGTCCGGGAACCTGATTCTCTTCTGAACTCGGGGGCCTCGTACTTTCTGAATGCTTGTAGAATACATGTTCTACTTCATATCAAGTCTTCTTCTTTTTATTCAATATGGGGAGGGGGTTGGGACACTCGGGGGTTAGAGTAGCCTATCCTGTTACCGGATCCTTGATCCTTGCTCTTGTTCACTGACTAGAATGAACTCGTCATAGTTCACAAGCATATCTCAAATGACATAATTTACGTGAATGCGTATAACAAAATCAATGTTTCTATGATTCACAATTCATATCTATTTTATATTTATTATTATGATTATTTTTGTACAATAAATTCTAATTGACAAGAAAATAAACTAAGAAGAATGATAAAATTACATCACACTCACTCACTCACTCATATATATGTATATATATACTTTGAAAATAAAGCGTGAAATGAAAATCAGTTCAAATTTTTGTTTAGCGCACAGTTTAATTAATCATAAACAAATTAAAGGAAACTTAAATAATAATAATAATAATAATTAGAGTGTATAAAATAAAAATAAAATAAAATAATAATAAAATATAAACCAAATAATTCATTATCACTGTGAACATCATTTAAAATTTCTTGTTCAATACAATAAACAAGTTTTTCTTTGATATATAATATTAATTAATGATCGGTTGATTGATTGATTGATTTTCCGACTGGTGTCGCAATAATAAATGGGATCATCGTCGGTAGATCATGAGGGTGGGAAAGAACATCTACTGCTACAACAACATCAACAACACCGACACCAAGACACATCTTCACCGTCACCGTCAGTACTAGAACCGACAAACAACTCAATTCACTCGGGCACAAATGAAACTTAAAATGGAAATACTATTTTATTGATGATTGTGTTGAAATTTGAGAAAGGAGCGAGCAAGCGAGAGAGAGATGAAAAGAAATATGCATATATATATATATATATATATATAGTCCATAATTCCTTATTGAACAACAATACTGAACAGATAGCGAGAGAGAGAGAGAGAGAGCGAGTGAGACCCATACATACTTCGTTTTAGATTGGAGAATTCCTCCTAGGTAGTAAGTAAGTAAGTAAGTGCATAAGTAAGTAAGTGACCAGTTGACTAAGTGTGTAGCTCGAGTAGTGTAGTAGTTGTTATTATTTTTCTCTCGATTTCAATGATTGTCACACCATTTCATCAAATCAACCATGTCGGTGTTTATTGTCATGGTCAGAAGAAGAAATAGGATAGTAAATAGATCAATAAATCAATAAATGAAAATGTCCATCAGTAACCGAGCTAAAAAAATTAAAAAATATCAACATGGCGTTCTCCGATAGAAAAAAAAAGAAGGCCAACATGCAACGATGAAATGGATGGGGTGAGTCAGGGGGCATAGAAAGGCGGCGTACAATGAATGAGAAGAGGAGGAGTATGCTTACATTGAAAAGAAATTTTTTATACAAATAAATAATAGGATAAGTGCTGTGTGTAAATAATATTCTTTTTAAAGAGAAAGGGCCGCGCATCAATGAATGGAACAATTTGTGTCGTCGCTGTTGACTCCGACTCAACAACTAAATTTCCTCATTGGGAAAAAAAATACTATATAAAGCAAAGAATAAAGAGAGACGGGGAAAAAGAAAGGCAACCTACAAGAAAATCACAAATCAATAAATTAAATAAAACAAGTCAAATAATCAATAATCAATAATCAGTAATAATAATACTCAATGAATTGATCATATTTTTTTTCTACCGATTAACACATAATATTATTGCACATCACAGACACACACACCGGACTGATTGATTGATCGGTTGATTGGTTGGTTGATTTTACATAAAGAAGGAAAATAATGGGACAGTATAAAACACGCACAGACTAAGACACGCAAGCACACACATGGGATTATTACGTAATCTTTGCAAGAGCATTGAATTATTCGCATCCTATGAGATTGATCAATTGATTGGTCAATAATATTCATCATCAAATAGATGTTCATTGATTTTATTTGATTTATTGTCATTTAGTGATGTTTTGCTCAACAGATCATTATTAGTAGTAACAGTTGTTGTGGTTGTTGTAGTCGCCGTTGTCGACATCGTCGAACTGAGAGTATGTGAAGTAGATGATGATGATGTAGGCGTAATATTTATGGTATGATAAGTACTGATTTGGGCAGATTTATTGTCAATAGGATGTAACTGCTGTTGTTGTTGTGGTTGTACATCAATGAATCTTGGAACAGGTTTATTAGTAGTATTAGTATCAGTAGTATGATGAACATGTGCTGGTTCAATTGGTATGAAACGATGTAATTCTTCATTGAATTTTCCTAATTTATGTAAATATTCACAACTTGTTGCACAATCGATTTGATTGAATTCATTATTGGAAAATAATAATTTACCAACCACTAAATTGTTGTTTTCGAAAATAAAAAAAAGAATGTGAAACAAATTAGAATTGGTCATCATTGTAGGTTGTAAAAAAAAAGAATAGGGCTCGAGATATTCATAAAATATGAGAGGATACCGTGTATGGTGTATGGGAGTTATGCAGCGAAGGCAATGAATGAGGTTGTGCAATATATCGTGGATTGATTGATTGATTGAGGTTAACCGTTCGCAGATGAGAGACCACACACTGTGGGTCCGATTCCTTATGGTGGGGTCGTTGATGAGCACTGCTGGTGAGTCCCAGAGTAAGATGAAGTGGCCGTTGAGCGATTCTAGGATTCATGATTCCAACAGAAAACAAGTGGATCAAGTTTTTCAATGAAGGTGATAAAGGCTGGAAGAATGACTGTCAACCTACTATGTTGTTGATGATATCGCCGTACACGAGCGGTTTTCGAGTTTCAATGGATCCTAATTAACTATGTTCGGAACAATTATTTTTGTATACAATGCTAGGAAAATTTATGATGAAGTAGCTGAAGGATTTTGACTTATAAAGACTTCTAGACATGTCATATAACAATGAAAAGAGAGATACGATAACTATATTAATCTAACTCATATATATATATATATGAGTTGGAGGCCAGACGGTTGGAATGGCTGCTGGTTGGCTCGGTAATCCGTTCGGGGCGCCACGTCTAGCTGGGAAAGCCCGCCTTGCCTCCCTTGCCGATTGGGGATTGTGGGTAGTGGATTGGTTGGAGGGATCTTGTTGATTCATAAGTGCCCCAACGACGGCCACTGCTCATGCGTCTGCTTTTTGGACGTCCACTTGTCTGAAGGCCAATCTAGACAACATGTAGATTGCCGTATGGGGCAGGGGTGATCGCAATATTGGCTCTTGTGAGAATCCTTGTGTTGCTTAAAACACAGCGGCGTGCATGTGCATATATATATATATACATATATATATCGACTATATAAGTATAAGCTTTCTCGGATTTTATGGTTAAGTTACTGAATTAATTCGAAAGTAGTAGTGTGGTGTGTGCTACTTATACGAACGATATAAGTAGTGTAAAAAGGGACGTGAAAGAAGTCTCACGGTCACAAGAGGCAAATGGAAAGCAAATGGAGCAAAAGCAAGAAGTAAATAGAGTACCGACAGCAAGTAAAGGAGGCAACAAGAGGAATGGAAGAAGGATGGAGCGTTGGAAGTCAGGACTCAAAGATGGTATGCAAATAGAGAGTTCAATGTAATGTTTTCGTTTTTAATTGACTAAGAGTGTAAATTGGCTAAATGAAATCTACCGCGCCTGCCTCAGTCTTCTCAGTAGTACTTTTTCTGGTTTATCATCAATTAGAGTTACGGAGATCATTAGTTTTACACATTCAAGTCATGAATCAATCATTGTGAGAACATTGGAAACCCGGAAGCACTGGACGGCTGTTTCATCCTGGTATGGGACTCATCAGTCGCAGTGTGCATTCACGGTTCCTGCTACTCGCAGGATTCGAACCCATTACTTTTAGTCTTGCGCGCGAACGCCTAACCTCTGTGTTGGGAACGTTAGATTCCCAGAACTCACTTGGAAAGGTTTTTATTTTGTAATTTTATTACGAAAGTTTGAATTCACATGTTTTCGTCCCAGTTGACCTTCAGCTCACATTCCCCCCCTCAAAAAAATCCTAGAATACCATTGATTGATGGGTTATTTTAGTACGCTGTTTAGTGGCTCTCACAAGCATATTTCTATCACTGTATAAATAAACGTGATTTGTGTCTTCTGGTTGCTTAAAGAATACAGTCTCTATTCCTTATCAAGACTTTTTGCCCTAGTTAATAATAGGGACCGGGACAATCGGATTAAAATAGCCTATCGTGTCACTGAGTTATTACTCTTCGTTTCGTTTACCGAGTAAGGTGAATTCATAATAGCATTCAAGCCTATCAACTGACGAGCATATCATTCTGAACTAATGGTGGTCTAACAATGATTGATTCATAATTTCAAAGTGTAAAAAAAATACTGTTGATACAACTGAATCAGTCATTCACAAACACTACAAATAATATCACAATCAAGTTTTCGACATTAAGTGACGAAAATATTTTATGCCTGCGACACTGTGTTAACATAGTGAAAGTTTGAAGATGTAGTTTAGAGTTTTTGTCTAAAGAGATACTAGGAATTATGATTTCTAGAGATACAATTCATTTCACATTAACTAAATATTGCAAAACTAGACAGAATGTATATTAGATAAATAAGCAATTTATACGAACGTACACATACATACATACAATTCAAAATAATGCTTCAAGACTGGGTTTCATCGGCACCTGAACTATTGATAGGGAGTGAAGTAGTTGAGCGTGTTGACCGCTTCACTTATCAGCGGAGTCTCATCAGTTCTGATAGTCTGATAACTGACGAAATCTCAGCTCGGATTCAGAAGTCTCGATTGGCTTTTGCCAACATGCGTCACTTGTGGCTTAGGCGAGATATCCGTTTGCTGACTAAAGGACAAGTGTACTGCGCAGTAGTTCGCTCCGTCTTACTTTATGGCTGTGAAACATGGCCAGTGAGAGTAGAAGATATTCGTCGGTTACTGGTTTTCGATCATAGGTGTCTTCGAAGCATCACTCGTATATCCTGGGACACCCGAGTGAGCAACCCTTTTATTAGGAAACGTGTGCTAGGTAAGAATGGCAGATCAATAGATGAAGAATTGAAACTTCATCAGTTGAGGTGGTTGGGACATGTGCTGCGTATGCCTAACCACCGACTGCCTCGACGAGCTATGTTTTGTAGTGTAGGAATAGGTTGGAAGAAAGTTAGGGGCGGCCAAACCAAAACATGGCACAAATCCATTAAGTCACTGACAAGTGGACTGAGTCATGTCGGTAGTTGTCGACTACCTGGTTGGGGTCCGCGAGACGAAAGTCATCGATGGTTAGAGACCCTGAATAACATGGCTCAAAATCGTTTGCAATGGCGCAAGTGCATCCATTCGTTGTGCTCTCTCAAATCATAATCTTCTGGATTCTTCAAAACCTCTAGTTTTGACTTTCTAAACTTTTCTCACTGAATCATACTTCTTGAATAATATCTTCTAATCCTAACCTCTCCGATTACTTCTAATACCCTTACTATCTCTTCTACTTTTGGATTTGAATTGACAATTACATCTCTGTGCTGATAAGGTATGGCAACATGAACTGATGTACTTACGTACAAAGTTCTACGTTGCATCTGACTGACTGAAACATATATACAAACACAAGCTAATCTTATGATGTAATTTTTTGCACAAAATCTCAACCAGATACTACTTTTTGAATATGATGTAGTTTCAAAATTATTTAATCTCAACTACATACTCAAATAAAATGCCCAAAAACAACTCCTTAGCGACCAGCTTGAAGATGTATTCCTGGAGTTCTAGTGAGCTGTGGGATGGATAGTTGAAAAAACATCATAGGTTGATTGAAGTTAGACAGTATAACACCGTTGGGATGCCAACTAATGGTCAAGAGGTATATCGTTCGTGGGCAAGAACAAAGGCCCTGGGTTCGATTCCTGCCTGCCCGGAGGTCGTAGATACGCACTGTTAAGCAATCGTTATGCTAAGGCGAGACGAAAGTCCAGTGCTTCGCAGGTTTCCCCAATGGTAGTGTGGTGCGCGCTACTTATAAGTAGTATATGACACGAGTGTAAACGTAATGTCTGGCAGCAGAAGATGGGGGAAGATCAAGAAAGTAAGAAGAGTGGGAACACAATGGAATTTGTATGAAATGCATGAATAAGTGAAATGTTAGACAATGGATTGAAGATTTGCAAATTAACCGTTTACGATATGGTTTTCCTATTTTACTGAGTAACTCTGTAATTTTCGATAAATACAATTCGGTTGCCCTCACCTGTGTTCTCCTTCACTACATTTGGTGTCGCTGCCTACACAAAGGATGAAGATACCATGGCCGAAGGAATTTGAAAAGGGAGATGCGCGGAGCTTCCTGAAGGAGTCTAGTTAGGATTGATTCATGATTTCAATGAAGAAAGTATAACAGAAATCATCACTACTGCAAAAAATTATTTACTCACCTTGAAGTTGTTGATTAATCGCTTTCATATTTTCGAAAGTATCATGTAAAGCATATTTTGTTGATGATTGTACATTATCTTGACTTTGTTGTGTTGATGATGGCAAATAATGACTACTGAATTCAGTAGTATTATTTCCAGTGGCACTAGTTTGTTTTTGATTATGACTTTAGATTTAAAAACAAAACGGGGAAAGAGATCAGTGGAGAAATGAAATTGAATGCAAATACGCTACATTATCAATTTGTTCTCACTGAATAAAAATGACTATTTAAGGTTTTAATTTTGAAAAAGTTGGGTGTTTTTGTCAGGAGGCGGACTGTTCTATTAGTCAGTCGATTATTACCCACTCCACTGATTTTACTATCCATAATGATGAGAAGTTGTAACAACAACACATTATATTCTGATTGATTAGTCTCAGACACTTCTGGATTAAGACGCAAGGTAGGAAGAAATCAACTATCAAGTTGTGTGGACCAATAAGGATTTAGAACTGACTGAAGGTTACATACTATTGATGTTAATAACGTCATTTTGATTGGTGTTTTTTGTATTCGTCACGTGATGGTAGTAGTCAACAGTTCTGGGGGATAGCACATTTGTTAGCTTAATTCAATCAAAGTACCTATCACTTGATATAGTCGCAGAAACTATTTCTAATTGTTTTGTCAGTTTATAATTCATAGACTCTCAGTCCCCCCACCTATTCACAGCCACTTTTGGCTTGCTCATGTACAAATGTATTTTCACATTATGTAGTGTGATTATGATCTGACATGATTTTTTTGTTAAAAATATAAACTATATCTGCTTGAAATATTATAACGAATATTGTAGAGTTTGGCTAGGAACTTCTGGACTCTAAGAGGCAGAATAGAAAGAAATCAACTATCAAGTTGTGAACCAATAAGAATTTAGAGTTGACTGAAGGTTACTATCGATGCTAATAACGTGATTTTGATTGGTGGTTTATATTTTTCACGTGATAGTGATCAACAGTTAGGGCTATAACATCCTTGTAAGATGGATTCAATTCAAGTAACTATTACCTAAGTTTTATTTACTAGTATAAACATACACGCAAGTCGTACAAAAATGTTACTAGATAGAAGCAGAAGAATTTATCTCATTATATCAACTGAGAAGTAGACAGTGGTACAATGAAGAACTTTATTCTTTTCACAAAACATGTAAATTTCTGCAATTTCCCATTATGTATAGATTAAATTTTCAAAATAGATAACCAGTAAAAATTAACAAGACATTTGACAATTGTTCTGTCACAGCATCAGATTTCTTTATAATAATAAGTGGAATATCTATAATTTTTGTGATAGAACCGAAGAATTTGTGTTGTATGCTTTAGGATTGAGTTATATCTGCACCTGAACTAGTGATGGGGAGTGAAGTAGTTGAGCATATCGATCGCTTCACTTATCTGGCGTCTGATGAGAAGGCTTGATTGGCTTTTGCCAACTTGCGACATTGATGGCGTAGATAAGTTATCCGTCTACTTACTTACTAAGGGATGAGTCTACTGCACAATAGTTTGCTCCATCATACTTTATGGCTGCGAAACATGGCCAGTAAGAGTAGAACTTGTTCGTCGGTCGGTGGTTTTCAAGCATAGGTGTCTCCAAAGCATTGCTTGTGTATCCTCGGACAACCGAGTAAGCATCGCTGTCGTTAGGAAACGGGTGTTAGGTAAGAATGGCAGGTCAACAGATTAACTATTGAAACTTCATTAGTTGAGGTGGTTGGGACATGTGTTACGTATGCCTAATCACCGACTACTTCGACGAGCGATGTTGTCTGATGTAGGGAGGATTAGGCTGGAAGAAAGCTACTGGCCGCCAAACTGAAACATGGCACAAATCCATGAATTCACTGACAACTCGAGTGAGTCATGTCGGTAAATGTAGACTACGTTGTTGGGGTCCGCGAGACGAAAGTCACCGATGGTTAGAGACCTTGAATGACATGGCTCAAAATCGTTTGCAATGGCGCAAGTGCATCCATTCTTTGTGTTCTCTTAAATCCTAATCTTATGGATACTACATCACGTTTATCTTTCTCTTTTTAAGTTCATTTCTGTAGATTATACTTCTTGAATAATATCCTCGAACCCTAATCTCTCCGAATATTGCTCATACTTCTACTATCTCTACTACTATGGGATTTGAATGGACAATTCAATCTTTCTGTGCTAATGTGGTATGGTAACTTGAACACTGCTGTACGTACATGCGTAAGTAGTTGTACGTTGTCACTGACTGACTGACTGACTGACCAATGGTCCTGGATTCAATTCCTTATGATGGGGTCGTGGATATGCACTACTGACAAGTCCCATACTAGGATGAAACAGCTGCCCAGTACTTTCAGGTTGCCAATGCTGCTCTAATATTGATTAGTCAGTACATGATTTCAATGAATGCCTAAATTATTTATTACTCAAAAAAGAAATATACACTGATCAATACATTCAGATAAAATACCAAATTCGAATCGAATCCAATCCAATCAAATCAATCAAGATAAATTTCACATTTATTTATGCTTACCTTAATTGATAGGCTAATTTATCAGAGAATTGACGTAGTTTAATAGATAAATATCGAATGGTATCAACCATTAATGAAGAATAAATCTATAATGTTTTTTGGAAAATAAAACATCAAAATAAAAGATAATGAGGATATAATTTATGATTACTATTTTTTCTTAAAGGATTTAAAATTCCCTTAAATATATATAAAAAAAATTGATTTATGCGAAGAAAAAGAGGGATGATACTAGCATCTGTTAGGATATTTTCATCAAATATCCTAAGAGAATTATTATTTTTGGAAGTCTAATTCTATTGGTCAATTTCTACTGGTCAATATTATGTTCGTCCTAGCTATCAATGTCACGTACTTCAAATGTTGTTTCCTAATGGTCGACCTAACTTGATGCATACGCATTATCTGTAACATTTTATGACCCGGATCCGGATCCCTAGTTCGGGATCCTTGCCTTCTTCTGGACTCGGACCTCTGGATGCTTCTTCTTCTTTTACTCAATGGGGTTTCGGGACAATCGGAACCAGAGTAGCATGTTGTGTCGCCGGATCCTCGATCCTCGCTCTCGTTTTCCGACTATGGTAAACTTGTTACAGTTGAAGCATATCAAATTGACATGTTTACGTGTATGCGTAACAGTATCATATCCAGACAAATTAATGAGTTTATCGAAAAAAACAGTGTTCAGTTTTAAATAAGATTAGCGCTAGAATATGTGTACAAAAAGGTGAGGTTTACGTAATAAATCCATCTGCAGTCCTACTGAGGTTACTGCCAGTCCCAAGCCCAGATAAAGAAGGAGGGTTGTGGGCATGGGGCGTTGTTAGCGACCCGATCCCGTAGAAAACTAACTCGCTATAAAAAAAAACACTAACCAGAAAAAAACGATTCACCAGTCGGTGCCATATGCTCCATTAAGGTTAATAGGCGTAAATAAGTGAGTAAGTAAGGTTACGTATTAGGAATCGGAATAGATTTTGGTCAATAACTGATATTAGTTACAATGTAAAAGACTAAGGTTTAGAATAAGAATTTAAGCTAGAGTTATTGGTATGTCTGGACGAAGAGTAAAGTCAATCGTAACTTAGAGAACCGATTTATTTCAATCCTGTCGGATATGAGGCTGTTGCCCATCGAAGACAATGAATGATGGTCGCGTAACACCGTGGACTGATTGAAGAGAAATATTAATACCGTTGGAGGCTGACTCACTGGTCTAGACTTTAAGCGTTCGCACAGGAAACCGAAAGCTCCTGAGTTCGATTCTCGTGTGTGGAGGTTGTGGATGCGCACTACTGAAGAGTCCCATATCAGGACGACCTATGCTCCATTGGGGGTAACAGGCATCAGTAAGTAAGCAAGTAGTATTTTGATTGACCAGTTTTATTTGTGGCTAAGGGCGGCCAGACCAAAACATTGCACAAATCTATGAAGTCACTGACAAATCGATTGAGTCATGTTGGTAGGTGTAGACTAACTGGTTGCTTCTAAGAACGACCGCATCATCAAGATGACAATGAACTATGTCACCAACGGTTGATCGTCTAAGAAGTCATCCTTGGCCCAGGATACACTTTGACTTTGTGGGCCCGATTAGTGGAACTATGTGTCTAGTTCTGGTCGACGCCGTTTCAAAATGGTCAGAAATCAGCCCTGTAATCCTGCCAACGAAAACTAAAACGACACAGCTCCTCTCTGAAATTTTCTCCTTAAATGGCATACCGGACAACGGTTCGCAATGGGTTGCTAATCCACTGGGGTCTCCCGAGTGGGTACCTGTAGAATACAGTCTCTATGTCTGGTCAAGACTTATCGCTCTAGTTAGTGGGGCCTACGACAACTGGATAAGAATAGCCTATCGTGTAACTGAATCAATGAGTTTCGTTCCATTTACCGAGTAAGGTGAACTCGTAAAAGTTTCGAGAATATCAGCGAGACTACAGTAACCGATCGCTAGAGATCTTGAAAGACATCGCTAAAAATCGTGTGCAACAGCACAAGTGTATTCATTCTTTGTGTTCTTTCAAATTCTAATCCTCCGAATTCCTCATAACCTTCATCTTTCTCTGCTCACTGATTGATTTCACTGAATTATACTTCTTGTATAACATCTTCAAACTCTAATCTTTCCGATTACTACTCATACTTCTACTACCTCTGCAACTGCATTTCTATGCTTTCCTAATATGACAACTTGAACACCGAAGTACTTACGTCATCAGTGCTGATGGCCTGGTGACTGACGAAATCTCGGCACGGATACAGAAGGCTCGATTGGCTTTTGCCAACCTGCGTCATTTATGGCGAAGGAGAGATATCCGTTTGCTGACTAAAGGACGAGTGTACTGCGCAGTGGTTCGCTCCGTCTTACTTTATGGCTGTGAAACATGGCCAGTGAGAGTAAAAGATATTCGTAGGTTACTGGTTTTCGATCATATATGTCTTCGAAGCATTGCTCATATATCCTGGGACACCTGAGTGAGCAAAGCTGTTTTTAGGAAACGGGTGTTAGGTAAGAATGGCAGATCAATAGATGAAGTGCTGAAACTTCATCAGTTGAGGTGGTTGGGACATGTGCCGTGTATGCCTAACCACCGACTGCCTCGACGAGCTATGTTTTGTAGTGTGGGAATAGGTTGGAAGAAAGTTAGGGGCGGCCAGACCAAAACATGGCAGAAATCCATGAAGTCATTGACGAGTGGACTTAGCCATGTCGGTAATTGTCGACTACCTGGTTAAGGTCCGCGAGACGAAAGTCATCGATGGTTAGAGACCTTGAATGACATGGCTCAAAATCGTTTGCAATGGCGCCGGTGCATTTATTCTTTGTGTTCTCTCAAATCACAATCTTCTGGATTCTTCAACACCCCTAGTTTTGACTTTCTAAACTTTTCTCACTGAATCATACTTCTTGAATAATATCTTCTAATCCTAACCTCTCCGATTACTTCTAATACCTTTACTACGTCTTCTACTATAGGATTTGAATTGACTATTATATCTCTGTGTTAGTGTGGTATGACAACATGAACTGATGTACTTACGTACGAAGTTCTACGATGCATCTGACTGACTGAATGACTGACTGACTTACGTACCTGGCTGACTTTTCGTTATGTAATTTCACTTCTTTTTTTCCTTACAAAAACCGAAAATTTTGAAAAATAAAAAAGAATCAAAATTCTCACAAAACAACAACAATGATCACTTACAGCTGATTCATTCGGATTATAGCTATTCACTGAATCAATATTGGCATTCAATTGATGTAATGAGGATTCTGGTGACAGAATAAAATCAATAAATTGTTCATTTTTCACATTATTCAAGTTCAACATCATCGTTGAAGGCATAATTGGATGATTTGTCGATGATGTTGCTGTTGTAGCGGTCGTAGTGGTTGTTGTCGTTTCTAATGAACGATAATAAGGAGGTAATGCTGATGGTATACTACTACTGAATGCTGAACATTCAATCATATCTGATAGATTTGTATCTGTTGTACTATCTGGTAATATTGGAGGTAGTGACTGTGAAGGATCATTATGCATTGGTAATAAATTCTTGGTTAGCTTTATAGTTGGATAGAATTTATTATTATCATGATTATGATTATTATTGATCGGTTCTAAGTGTTTTGGATGGATTTCATTGGAAAAATTTTCATTAGATTGAAATAACTATTATTAAATAAATATAAAGATGAAGATAAGATAAATCATTTGAACGAAAAAAAATAAACGAATGTCATTGGATTGTTTTAAAAAAAATTTCTTCTTGATTGACATATGTGAATTGTTTCAATATAAGAGTTTATTATTTTGGGGCATAGTTTTGGAGGTTTGCGTTTTTATTACACATTTGAAATCATCAATCAATCATTGTTGTTAGACCACGATTAGAAACCTGGAAGCTTCGTGAGGAAATTCTCGGAGTTCTAGTTGAGAAGACGTGACCAGTATGGAGTTCATCAACCCTGTCGGGTGTAGGCAGTAAATACCAAAGAAAAATGGGTGAGGTCGCGCAAAATCCCTAGATCAATCAGAGTTAGACATTAACACCGTTGGATGCCGGCCCAGTGGTCCGATGGTAAGGCGTTCGACTACAATGCCAAAGGTCCCGGGTTCGAATAATGCGAGGAGCAGGAGTCGTGGATGTGCACTGCCACTGATGAGCCCCATACCAGGACGGAACGGCCTTCCAGTGCTTGTGGGTTTCTAATGGTGGTCTAACGATGATGACTGATTGATGATTTCAAATGTATAATAGTTTATGTTGTAGAATAAATGGAATGTAGTTGTCAGTCAGTAGTGGAATACATGACATGTGTTTCATCCTATTCAGGACTCATCCATCAGGTGGATGGATTTATGAATGAGTAGTTATCTGGACTTAGTAGCTAAGTGGATAACGACGCGATGGTGTTTCAAACAAACGGGGTACTGGATACGAGTCCCGAAGTGATCTCATTAGCTTTGAGATTCAAAGTATACTCAGTTAACGAGTTCTAAATAGGGAGAAATGCACGTCTTGGATTCTACTGCATTTTATATATATTCTACGTAAAATTGACCTTTATTTTCTAGGTATGCAAATAAATGTTAGCAGCATCGTTGATGAGCAAGGTGGTGTAGTGCATCCACATTTATTTGCATCCGCTTACATTTAATTTGCTTAAGCCATTTCGATTAATTTATTTAACCAAGCCATTTGTATAGCAACAACTCATATGTACCATTGGTATTTTTTATTATCTGCTTTGTATGAGCTTATACGACTGAGCATTGCTTACGCTTACGCACTTACTCATCCTTTTCGCTTTAATGTTGATCTCGTAATATTCCCATGAACTCACATGATTTGTATCGCTTGCTTTTGACCTTGTCAATCATTCGTCGCTTTTATTCATGTGTGTACATACCTATTTCGCTTGTCATATGTCTGTCTTATTCTTATCTGACCATATATTCTTAGTCATGCTCTATCTCTTTGAGTTGGCTCACTAGCCTTCTCCAATTCGCTTCTTCACTTCGCTATGTGGTGTGCCTCGAATAAATGTATTCATCAATACGAGTTCATCTTCTGATTTATTAACCGTCAGACGTCATTTGGATAAGACAATCTGAACGAGCTTATTACGAAACGTAAGAACACGCCCGAATCGGCACACTACAGTGGATCTAATGCAGATGTGAAGGAGCGGATCGGCAAAGCAATGTCATCCGGACATCCGGAACTCGAAACAATTATCAACCAAGTAAAAAGTCAGAATTTTCAATACAAATGTCAAGACAGTTCTCTACTGTATGTGGCGAAAACGTGGAAAACTACCAAAGCCATCATCCAGAAGAGACAAGTGTTTATTAACAGTTGTCTAGGCGAAATACTGAGTATCCGTTGGGCAAATATCATCAGTAATATCCTACTGTGGGAGAGAACAGACCAGATTCCAGTGGAGGAGGAAATCAAGAAGAAGAGCTGGAAATGGATAGAACACACATTGCGGAAAGCACCGAACTGAATCACAAGACAAGCCCTAACCTGAAATCCTCAAGCTCAAAGGAAAAAAGGAAGACCAAGAAACACACCACGCCGAGAAACAGAGACATAACAAAAAATTGGAAAGAACTAGAAAGTAGGTTGGAGAATGCTGGGCGGCAGCCTATGCTCCATGGGGGATAACAGGCATAAGTAAGTAAATAATACGTTGTGTAGAAATCGAAAGAGTACTTATTTGTGAAGGTTTTGATTATCTTGTGAAATGACATTTAATCAGTTTGTGTTTTAGTAAGAAACAGTACCAACATAGTGATCATCTCAAATCCTTACGGATCAACACTAAAACTGTTGAATAAGTTAGTACAGTAGTGAAAATAATGCATTGATTTTTAAAGTAATAGATAGGGAATTTTAAGTCTCAGTGTTACTACTAATCAATCTAAATTATACTAAGTGACTTGGTTGAAATAGGTATCAATGAATGATTGAATTCATTCTCTGATATTACAATGATTGGAAGCTATTGGCAGAAAGATTTTGATGTTAGTTTCTGTTATGCATGCGCATAAACACGTCAATGGATACGCTTAAGCTATTACGAGTTCAAACTAGTAAGTAAACAAGGGTGAGGATCGAGGATCCGGCAACACGATAGGCTACTTTAATTCAAACGTCCCAAATCCCCATTGAATGAAAAAGAATACTTGAAATGAAGTAGAACATGTATTCCACAAGCATTCAGAAAGTATGAGGTCCGATTCTAGGAGGGAATCAGGATCCTGAACTAGGGATCCGGGTCCGGGTCATAAAACTTTACAGATAATTTGTATATATACGGTCAGGTCGAATCGGAAACAACATTGAAGCATGTAACCTTGACAGTTAGAACGACCAATAGGAATCGATCAATAGAATTAGACTTACAAATAATCCTCTTAGGATATTTGGTAAATATCCTAACAGTTTCGTATTATTTTGTATCAATCTAATAAAAGCGATCACTGTAAACGCCTGAATTCTACAGGAAGAGAAGCACAAGGCCATAAGTCTACTTGATGGACTGATGATTTCGAATAGAATCTTCGATAGACTGGGTGAATGTGACATCACTGAGTCGATCTCAAGGTCAAACGGTGGATGGAAAAGTACAAACGAGGGATGCTATTAGGGAAAATTCGGTCGGACGTCTAGCCACCAAAGTCTCGCGATACAGGTTACTGTTTGGGTCATTTGGATAAATGTATATATAAACCAATAATTAATGTGCCTAACTATCTCGCTATCCAATTATAGCTGTCTAATGACTTCCAAATTTACTCACTTAGATTGTTAGTTGGGCAAGCCGATTAAGAAGTGAGAAGCTGAGACAAGATAGACGTCTTGAAATGTAACAACCCTTGAGTATTCAATAATCCTAATGAAATTACTTCAGAAAACAAATCATCTCATTTTTATACTTACCGGTTCTCTAGCCAAACTATTAATACCTTGAGCAAGTTCAGACATTCGTGTGACCCAATTTTGATACGATTCAGCATCTAATATAGTCAAATATTTCTGTGGATCTAAAAAAAACGTTTCCACGAAGAAAAGACAGTGGAATAAGTTGATCGTAAATGAAGGAATAAGTTATTCGTGATAACAATACAGATAAATAATGAATCTGTAAAAGAGATTGATGAATTTTTATTTACAGTGTATTTATTTCATGCAATTTGTACCAGTTTATGAATTTAAATCAAGTCAAAACAATAATTGAAGCAGAATAATATGAATTCATTATGTTTCATGGCCCGACCAAAGCTACTACCTTGACATGGTGGTCGAGCTTGACTATCGTGATCACTCAACCGAGCTATATTGGCTGGAACTCATGTTCCTGTAGGTTCTACCATGCCAGGCAGGCACATCGATTGGAGAACGATGAGATTGAAAGCAGCTACCCAAGGTCTGAGGGTGAAGTCGTACTGTTGACAGCAGAGAGGTGTGTTTCCCTCGGACAACCAGCATCTGCAGCGATGCTGCCTTCTCACAAGGAAGTAAGGGAGGATTAGAAAAGGTCGACCCTAAAAATGTCACACCTTGCCCTAATCTCATGGATTTCAGTCTCCGGCGGTAAGGGCTGCCCAATAAGGGCTTTTGAGAGCGGAGCTAATACTCATCAATCCTTTCATAAAAAGGCCGTGCGTGACCGGCCTCAAGCAGTTGTCCCTTGGGCTCTGCGGTCACACAACCAGGTCTCTAAGACCAACACTAATCTATCTTCATTTTCAGATCCCTCAAGAAACACCCTTCCACGGTGTTGGCAGCCGGGAAGTGACAACCGCCATCATACCCGTAACAACGCGCGAGACCAAATTGGTCACAAACAAATCCTTCCTACACCCCTTAATCTGTCTGTGGTTTCTGATCAGTCACTTACATGCGTATATGTAATAAAATGTAGTAATAATTATATGATCTAATGCAAATAAATTGACATTGATAAGAACTTGAGACTGAGAGTTGCAAAGACTCTAAATGATGCAATAGCTCGGCATCTAGCTGATAACGAACATATTGTGGACATTTTTAAATATCATCGACAGATAAAAAACTGCATATCTTCGAGTTGCTGAAGCAGTAGCGAATAAAATACCTAAATCTGATGTGTCTAAAAATAGACGGCAATCAATTTGTCGCTACCTTGGTAATCGCTACAATCAAAACAAAGGCGAAAACAACGATAGATTTAAGCTCAACAGCAACCAATCAAGATCGAGGTTAACAGAACAAGCCACAGGTCAAATGTGGAGAAATTCGAATACTTCACTTCTATCCGAAGTTAGTGCTGATGATGTTGTTCAGTAGAAGAACAATCAAAGCTCCACAACCAAAACATCCAACTCAGAGAACGAAACACTACAAAAATTATACGGTTGTGGAGATGTGTTGAGTTATTTTTTGAAATCATGCATCGATCAATGTTAGACCACCATTAAAAACCTACAAGCACTGGATGGCCGTTTCGTCCTGATATGGGACTCGTCAGCAGTCCGCATCCTGCTACTCTCAGGATTCGAACCTACGACCTTCGGTTTTGCGCACATACCCTTAACCGCTGGACCATTTAGCCATCCAGTGCTTTCAGGTTGCTAATAATGGTTTAACATTGATCGATGCATGATTTCAAAAAGTAACTCAACAAATCTCCACAACTCTATAATTCAATCTTCACTTAACTAATTCTTAATTTATGTACATCAAAGTCATCTCTTTTCATTCATTCATTCATTTCGCGAGAGTGATGTAAACCTTTTCAAATCTTGCTTACTCATTGAGTGACCCCCATTCAATCGACTAAGTCTAGACAACTAGTCGAAAACATATGTAAACTTTTCATAATTTCTATCATTATCACACAACTCATCTTATTTGTTTTCAGACTTTATGTAGTTACTGTCTTATCGTTGCTCTTTATGCGTTGATTTGAACTCTGTCTTGATATGATCTCAATCTTGTTCACGGTTAACCTCAGTACTACTGTGGTGTGAGCTACTTATAAGTAGTATATGATGTGAGCGTCAACGTAATGACTGGCAGCAGAAGATGGGGGAAGATCAAGAAAGGAAGAGTTAGAAAACAATAGATTTTGTATGAAACGCATGAACAGTGAGTGACAATGGATTGATGTTTTGCAACAGGAACAGTCCAATTCGATATGATGAACTGGTACTTTGCAAATGAACGATTTACGATATGGTTTTCCAATTTTACTGATAAACTCTGTAATTTCGCTAAATACAATTCGGTTGCCCCACCTGTGTTCTCGTTCACTACACTACTGGTTACTTGATTGTTCCACTGTATATGAGAGTAATTCTTCAAGGACAAAGCCTCTCAGTTTATATTGACATTTTTAATAGTAGTGAAATTTCCTGTCTTTTATTGTATCACTACTGATTTTATAGAATAAATAGATATGAGTTTCGTCTTATTCGAGTCTCATCAGCTAAATTTACCTGGATCTAAGTATTAGATCTGTTTCATGTAACTCAAAACTAGAAGCTGTTACTTCGAATACCAATGCGTTTACTTAGAGACTATTGAATTTAAAAACTGACTTATTGTTTATTTTCATACTTGACATCTTAGGTAACAACATACTTATTAACTTTTACAAAAAAAGAACAGATGTTGTACATTGTAGTGATTTAATCGATAACTTATATTAAGATACATATGTATATTTATATTCTGTTGGATGCCGGCTCGTTGGTCCAGACATTAAGCGTTCACGTACGGGGGACTGATGGTCGTAGGTTCGATTCTAGCGAGTGAGAGTCGCAGATGCGCACTGCTGAAGAGTCCCATACTAGTACGAACCAGCTGTCTAGTGCTTCCAGATTTACAATAGTGGTCTAACAATGATTGATTCATGGTTTCAATCTAGGATTTGATTGTGATTAGTTTGGTCTCGTGTGTTCTTGTGAGTATGGGGGCGGATATCACTTTCCGGCTGCCCTCAACGTGGAAGGGTGATTATTTAGGAAACTGAAAATAAAGTTGGATTAGTGTTGGTCTTAGCAACCTGGGAGCGTAACCTCAGAGCATAAAGGATAACTGCTTGAGGTCGGTCGCGCACGGTTTTTTTATTGGAAGATTTTGAAGTGTTCTCTCCGCTCTTCAAATGACCTTACCACCGGAGACAGAAATTTGTAGGTTAAAGTGAGGTGTGACATTTTAGGGTCGACCATTTCTAACCACTTCCTTTCTTGTTAGAAGACAGCATCGATACCACATGCTGGCTGTCCTAGAGAAACACCTTATTGCTGTCACACCCCACTACAGACAGCAGTACGACTTTGTCTTCAAATCTTAAGTTGCTGCTTCCAGTCTCACCATTCTTCAATCGGACTGCCTGCCTGGCATGGTAAAACCTACAGGAACATGCGTTCCAGCTAATACAGCTCAGTTGGGTCATCACAGTAGGCAAGTCCAACCACCACGTCATCAAGGTAGCAGCTACAGTCGGCGATTATTCCAATCTATGTATACATCGTTAATTAGTATATGTCTTTGTAAATAGATAACCTATGCAGAAATCATGTGTACAATGTTAATTTATAAATGAAAGTAAAGTCATTAGAAACAAAATAACTTATGATATTGATTTCATCAAGTTACTAGTGCAATTTTCAATTGAAAAAAGCAAAACTTAAAAAGTGTGATTTTTAGAAAAAAAAGTAAAATATGAATAGTTTTTCATCACAAGTTAATGTTTATTCACACACACACACACACACTTACACAACACACCTAATGAGTGTGATGTACAAACCGTGTAAAGTACACATATTAACTCTCAGAATTCAAAAAAAAAATTTGTGTTTGGACAAATGGACAAGGAGACACATATTTAGAATAACTATGCATCTATTAACATTATCACGTTGTAAATCAGTAACATTAGGGGGCGTAGAGGTGGGGTGGGATAGGGTCGTGGAGGAAAAATTTATTAAGAACTATAATTAGATTGTCACTAAAATAAAATATTACGTCATTTATTTTCAATTAGAGTTATGAAGATTAGTGTTTTGTTACACACTTGAAATCATCAATGGACCAATCATTGTTATATCACCACTGGAAACCTGGAAGCACTGAAAGACAGCCGTTTCGTCCTAGTGTATGGGACTCATCAGTGGCAGTGCGTATCCACGACTCTTGTGTAGTAGGATTTAATTTGTCCTACAGATATACGCTACTAGAACTGTAAATGCGACGATACTGGCGAGCATAGAGTCTATGTGGAAGCTTCAGTCCGAAGAACAAGGACAACTTGGCTTTAAACTTTATCTGTTTCTAAACGTAGATGAGTACAATAATTAAGGAAGTTATAGCTATTTAGGTGAAACGAACATACGTACCGACCAAATATTGTGTGTCTTATCGAAATGAATAAAATTATGAGTCACATTATTTTATTATAGGATAATAATGTATTTCAGTTGGTAGATCACATGCAACAGAGATAGTTTACAGACACATCAGGACCAGATCAACGTGGTGTGAGCACTTATACCACTATTTGATTGGTTGGTTATGGACATAACTAACATTCTGTATCTTGCAGGACTCGAACTCAGGACCTTCGGTAATGCCCGCGAATGCCTAACATCACACTAGTAGTAATGTGTTACTGATGAAATAGTTGAGTACAAACACACACGTACACACACCTATTGAGTGTGGTGTACTTAATTACTACTTACTTACGCCTGTTACCCCCAACCGAGCATAGGCCGCCAACCAGTTTTCGTCAACCAGCTCTGTCCTGGGCTCCCCTTTCCAGTTCTTCTCAGTTTTTGTCCATTCTTCTCATGTCTTTCTCTATTTCTCGGCGTAATGTGTTGATTGGCATTCTTATTTTCCCCTCATCTTGAGGGTTGCAAATGAGGGCTTGTCTTGTGATGCAGTTGGGTGCTTTTCGTAGTGTGTGTCCTATCCACTTCCACCGCTTCTTCCTGATTTCCTTCTCCGCTGAAGGAATCTGGTTTGTTCTCTCCCACAATTCGTTGTTGCTGATCGTGTCTGGCCAACGAATACGAAGTATTTTGCATAGACAACTGTTAATAAACACTTGTATCTTCTGGATGATGGCTTTGGTAGTTCTCCAAGTTTCCGCTCCATACAGTAGAACTGTGTTCCCATTTGTAGTGGAAATCCTGATTCCTGGTGTTGGTTGATATTTGTAAGGAGTTGCAGATATTTTTCAATTGTAGAAATGCAGCCCTTGATTTGCCAATCCGCGCCCCCATATCTGCATCGGATCCACCTTGGTTGTCGATGATGCTGCCAAGATATGTAAAGGTGTTAACGTCCTCCAAGGCATCTCCATCAAGAGTGATTTGGTTGATGCATGTTGTGTTATATCGGAGAATTTTGCTTTTCCCTTTATGAGTGTTGTGTACAATCCGTGAAAAGTACACATATTAACTCTCAGAATTTCAGAAAAAAAAATTATGTTTGGATAAATGAACAAGGAGACACATAGCTAGAATAACTATGCATCTATCATCAGTATCACGTTGTAAATCTGTCACATCAGGGGGCGTAGAAGTGAGGTGGGGTAAGGTGAGGGAGGGAATTTGATAAGATGAAAAACGTACCAATAACTATAGTTAGATTGTCACTAAGCGAATATTACATCACACCAGTTGTAATGTTACTACTACTACTACTAGTACTAGTGATAAAATAATTGAATATCTAACAGATGATTCTAGTAGTTTACAGAACCAAAAAACTGTAATCATTGAAGTACATCAATAATTATTTTTTTGAAAACAAATGTTTGTTGAAATCGTGTTAATTTATAAACTAGATTGACATGGAAAAAACAAAGTATTTTTTTGCAGGAGACAAAATGAAGTTGTGTAGATTTTTTATGGGAATTCTTTTTCTCTTTCTAAAAACGAGTTTCAATTTTTTTTAATGATAAACAATGTTAAAATCTCTAATAAAATTAATTCACTTACATGGGGAAAGGTAGAGATAAGAACAAGCATGCAACAGTAGAAATTAGAAGAGACTAACATGAAACAAATTCATGGAGCCATGTTGGTAGGTGTAGACTACCTGGTTAGGGTCCACAAGACGATAGTAACCGATGGTTAGAGACTTTGAATGATATGGCTCAAAATCGTTTGTAATGGCACAGGTACATCCATTCTTCGTGTTCTGTCAAATTCTAATCTTCTGAATTCCTAATCACCTTTTATCTTTCAATCTTTTTAAATTTATTTCACTAGATTGTACAACCTGAATAATGTCTTCAAGCCGTAATCTTTCCAGTTATTGCTAATACTTCTATCCCTACCACAATGGAATTTGAATCGACACTTGCGTCTTTGTGCTAATGTGGTATGGTAACTTAAACTGTACACTTGTTTAATATTCGATAAATTCATGAGTAATCCACACGAATCAGTCAGTCAGCTACAATGTAGAATTTTGTATGTGTGTACATACATACATCAGTGTTCAAGTTGCCATACTACATTAGCATACAGAGATATAATTGTTTAAATTCTATAGTGATAGAAGTAGTAGAAGTATTAGCAGTAATGTAGAAGATTAGAGTATGAAGATATGATTCGAGAAGTACAATCTAGTGAAATAAATTTTAAAACAGAAACTAAACAGTCATAAGGAATTTAGAAGAATAGGATTTGACAGAAGACAAAGAATAAATGAATCTGTGTCATTGTAATCGATTTACAAGTACGAAGGCGGATGTCACTTCCAAGCTGCCAACACTAATTCAAGTGAATGGGTAATAATTAATGGTATAAGTTGCAATTATTAGTAACGATTAGATTTTCAACCTTGAAATCATGAATGAATCATTGTTAGATCACTACTATTAGAAACCTGGACGGATCAGCCGTTTGCTTCGTACTGGTATTGTTCGTGCGTAACACCAAAGGTCTTGGGTTCGAATCCTGCGAGGTGTAGGAGTTGTGGATGCGCACCACCACTGATGAATCTTATCTCAGGACGAAACGGCCGTCTAGTGCTTCCAGGGTTGTAATGATGGTCTAACAATGATTCATTCATGATTTCAAGGTAAAACTACAACTTCCATAATACTCTAATGCAAGATTAGATACCCATTGATTATCAAACTGGCATCATATATAATCTATAAATAAATGTATCACAATAATGGAGTTTCATTGTAAATAATCTGTGATCTAGTTTAATTATTATTCACTCTTCTAACACGTTTGATTATCATTAAGACAGTTTTATTGTATGAAACGAAAAACTTGTTGAACCAAGACTGTTATCATTCACAAGATACAAGTGTTTATTGACAGTTGTCTATGCAAGATACTGGGGACTCGTTGGCCAGAACATCATCATCAACAACAACCTACTATGGGAGAAAACAAACAAGATTCTAGCTAAAGAGGAGATTAAGCAAAAGAGCTTGATGTGAATAGGATACACATAGAGGAAATCACCTAACTGCATCACGAGACAAGCCCTTACCTGAAATCCTCAAGACCAAAAGAGGTAGATGAGGTAACATAGTGCTCCGAGAATCGGAGGCAGACATGAAAAGAACGCATAGCAATTGGTTAGAATTGGAAAGGAAGGAAGGCTTAGGACAGAGTAGGTTGGAAAATGCTAGTCGGCGGTCTATGCTCCACTAGGGGTAACAGGCGAAAGCATGTAACACATTCGATCAAAGCAATTATTTATTTAATGAATAGTTTATAAAAAGATCTAATTAAGAAAAACTTCCCATTGTTAAGAGAGAGAGTAACCTACTTTAGAATCAATTTCCAATGGCTTGTTTTCTAGTGCTTCCAGGTTTCTAATGGTGGTCTAACATTGATCGATTCATGGTTTCGAAAAATGTGTAACTTAACAATATTCACAACCCCTTAATGGAAATTACCTGTGCTCACTAGTGACTAGCTTCGTGAGGAATATTCTTCGAGTTCTAGTGGGAAGACGTGACCAGTGAAGTTTAGCCTGTTCGGGTGTAGACAGTAACTGCCGAAGACTGTGTATGAGGTTGCGCAACTCCGTGAATTGATCAAGTTAGATATTAACACCGTTAGATAACGGCTAAGTGGTCCGATGGTTAGGCGTTCGCACACAATACCGAAGGTCCTGGGTTCGAATCCTGCGGGTTGCAGGATTTGTGGATGCGCACTGCTGTGGAGTCCCATACCAGGAAGAAACGGCCGTCCAGTGCTTCCAGGTTTCTAATGGTGGTCTACCATTGTTCGACTCATGGTTTCAAAAATGTGTAAGCTATATATGTCTAATGACGTTTCAAGCCAACAAATCTAACATTGCATCGGACAGACATTTCACAACTTACATTTAAAAACATACACATACACACAAACACACACGAAAATGAAAATAAATGAATGAATAAGCGGTTACACTACACCGGAAAAAAAAAGAAACACTTGTCAACTTACCATTTTGATCATTAGAATAAGATACTTTTCGACGTGTAAATGTTCGTGAATCAACTTCATTGGATTTTTTATAATTCATATCTTCATTGCAATATTGTGATAAATTTATTGTTGTACTATCAGATTTCTTTGTTTCACTAATAAAAGTAAGGCAAAGAAAACATGTGAATATCGATAACAAGTGTACATAAGTCGTATAAAATATTACCTCGTTTGATCTCGTATGCTCTTATGAGTATGAAAGCGGATGTCACTTCTCGGCTGCCCACATCATGGAAGGGTGTTTCTTGAGGAAAAAGAAAATGAAATTGGACTAGCTTTGGTCTTAGTGACCATGGAGCGTGTATGCAGAGCACAAGGCCGGTCACACACGGCCTTGTTATGGTAAATTTTTACCATGTTAGCTCCGCTCTTCAAATGGCCTTACCGCCGGAGACGGAACTCCATGGGTTAAAGTGAGGTGTGACATTTCTCTAGGGTCGACCATTTCTAACCCCTTCCTTCCTTGTAAGAAGGCAGTATCGCTGCAACATGCTGGCTGTCCGAGGGAAACACCCTACTGTTGTCACACCCCTTTACAGTCAGCAGTACGACTTCGCCCTCAGACCTTGAGTAGCTGCTTTTAGTCTCACTGTTCACCAATCGACCTGCCTGGAGAACCTACAGGAGCTTAACTTCCAGCCAAAATAGCTCGGTCGGGTAACCGAGATAGGCAAGCCCTACCACCACGTCAAGGTAGTAGCTACTACATCTACCCTTATGAGACTTGAATCGACTATTGCGTCTCTGTGCTAATATGGTATGGTAACTTGAACTGATATACGTAAGTATCAAGTTCGACGTTGTAGCTGACTGACTGATGAAATATGCCAGCTGGATAAGTTATTATTATTGTTATGAAACAATTAAAAATATGACTTTAGAGCCTTTTTTAACTGAAATTGATTGTATCACCTAAAATCGATTGGTTTATATGTGTAGTAGATGACTTATAAAACATTAGGTTGGAGAATGCTATTCGGCGGCAGCCTTTGCTCCATTACAGGTAACAGACGAAAGTAAGTAAGTACATATGAAATCTAAAATGAAAGATTATTGACACCTATAATTTGTCAAAGACTAATTTTAGTTGAGTTATCAGTGACATTCAAGGATTACTGGACAAATATTACATTCTAATATTTTGAGTTCTTCACCTTCTCCTACGCATAGCTATATTTGGCTCAAGTCATGTGTCCTTGTTATTTTCCATTTATATTAGTGTACTGTAGTCTGCCCGACCGTAGCTGCTGCCTTGACTTGGTGGTCGGGCTTGCCTATTGTGATGATCCAATCGAGCTATATTGGCTGGAACATATGTTCCTGAAGGTGTCTTCGAAGCATTGCTCGTAAATCTTGGGACAACCGAGTAAGCAATGCTGTCGTTAGGAAACGAGTACTAGGTAAGAATGGAAGATCAATAGATGAAGTATTTAAACTTCATGAGTTGAGGTGGTTGGGACTTGTGTTACGTATGCCTAACCATCGACTGCCTCGTCGTCGAGCTATATTTTGCGATATAGGAATAGCTTGGACAAAAGCTAGGGGCGGCCTGACCAAAACATGGCACAAATCCATGAAGTCATTGACAAGTAGACTGAGTTATGTCGGTAGGTGTCGATTATCTAGTTGAGGCCGGCGAGATCACAGTAATCGATGGTTAGAGACCCTGAATACCATGGCTCAAAACCGTTTGCAATGGCGCAGTTGCATTCATTCTTTGTGTTCTCTCAAACCCTAAACTTTGTAATTCTTCATCACTTCATCTTTTTAAATCTATTTCACTAGATTCTATTTCTTGATTAATTTCTTCTAATCCTAACCTCTCCGACTACTGCTAATACCCCTACTACTATTGGATTTGAATTGACAATTACATCTCTGCGCTAATGTGGTATGGAAACATGAACTGATGTACGTATGTACGAAGTTCTACTTTGCTATTGACTGACTGACTGACTGAGTCTGGTCTGGAATATCAAAAATGTATTATTAATAAATCTTGAACTGGTATAGTCGTTGGTGTTATGGTTTCCTTCCATATTCGGGACAAGTTATTATTGAAGAAGAGTATTAGTTCTCTCGTCCTTGTTATTTCATTGGTCACACCAAGGTCATCTCTGCAAATTAATAATCGGTGTTGAATGCTCAATAGTCAGTAACATCATCTACTTTTATATTCATTTCTGTTATGCATATACATGAATATATATTCAATAATACAAGAGTAAAATTGCACACAAACAACTCGATTAAATAATTCAATAGATTTTAAAAATAAAATTCATCTGTACACATCATTTTTTCAAAAAAAATAAAATTGAAATTTATGATTTTTGTTTTAAAATGTATCAAAATATCCTATCGAAAAAAAAAGTTACATTTATGTAAACTACAGTGATTCTATTTTACATGAACATATATATATATATTATATGGTTAATGATATAAATTTATTTTATTTTGTGAAGTTCCCATCAAAACTGATTAGAAAACTAAAATATTTTTAAAATTTAAAATTATACGATAGACATAGGCATAATTTTAAATACGAAAAGTGTATCACGATATGATGTAATGAAGTTTCGCAATAAAGTTAAATAAATTTACAGTCAGTCAGTTGCAACGTAGAACTTCGTACGTAAGTACATCAGTTCATGTTGCCATACCACATCAGCACACAGATATAATTGTCAATTCAAATCCTATAGTAGAAGAGGTAGTAAAGGTATTAGAAGTAATCGGAGAGGTTAGGATTAGGAGATATTATTCATGAAGTATGATTAAATGAGAAAAGTTTAGAAAGTAAAAACTAGAGGTGTTGAAGAATCCAGAAGATTAGGATTTGAGAGAACACAAAGAATAAATGCACCGGCGCCATTGCGAACGATTTTGAGCCATGTCATTCAAGGTTTCTAACCATCGATTATTATCATCCCGCAGACCCCAACCAGGCAGTCGACAATTACCGACATGGCTAAGTCCACTCGTCAATGACTTCATGGATTTCTGCCATGTTTTGGTTTGGCCGCCCCTAACTTTCTTCCAACCTACTCCTACACTACAAAACAAAGCTCGACGAGGCAGTCGGTGGTTGGGCAAACGCAACACATGTCCCAACCACCTCAACTGATGAAGTTTCACCACTTCATCTATTGATCTGCCATCCTTGCCTAGCACCCGTTTCCTAACGACAGCATTGCTTACTCGGGTGTCCCACGATATACGAGCAATGCTTCGAAGACACCTATGATCGAAAACCAGTAACCGACGAATATCTTCTACTCTCACTGGCCATGTTTCACAGCCATATAGGAGAACGGAGCGAACTGTTGCACAGTACCTTCGTCCTTTGTTCAGCAAACGGATATCTCGCCTACGCCATAAGTGACTCAGGTTGGCAAAAGCCAATCGAGCCTTCTGTATCCGTGCTGAGATTTCGTCAGTCGCCAGGCCATCTCAATATTCTATCGGAAGAAAAGTTACATTTATGTAAACTACAGTGATTCTATTTTACATGTACACTTATATATATATATATATTCAGATTAATGATATAAATTTATTTTGTGAAGTTCCCATCAAAACTGATTAGAAAACTATAAAATATTTTAAAAATTTTAATAGACATAGACATATTTTATAAATACGAAAAGTGTATCGCGATATGATGTAATGAAGTTTTGCAATAAAGTTAAATAAATTTACAGATATAGATATAAAATATCGAATGAATAGTAACTAGAAATTTCTATCTAGAAAGTTGTTGACAAACAAACTTTGCATGGTTGGTGTAATAGAGATCAAGATCATCTTAGTTGGGGATGTTAGATCTCGAGAACTCACTTGGAAAAGGTCCTAACTTTGGATTTTCGTGTTTTCGCGCATAGGCTGGTCAGTTGACCTTGAGATTACATTTCCCACCAGGAAAATCCTTGACTGTCATCATTGGTTGATGTGTTATTTTAGTAGGCTATTTTTGTGGCTCTCACAAGGACGTTTCTATCATGTATAAATAAAATCGATTTGTGTGCTTGTGAACCTCATATTTTCTGGGTGCTTGCAGAATACACTTTTGTTAGGTTCGTCACTAAGTATGTTTGAAACTATTACGGGTTCACCTTAGTCGATAAACGAGAACGAGACAATGAACCAGTGTCGAGGTAGGCTACCCTGATCTGCTGACTAATGAAAAGTTTTGATGTGGCGTAGAAAGTATATTCTACAAACACCTAGCAAGCACAATGCAATCAAGCACACAAATCGCGTTTATTTATACATCATAGAAACGTCTTTGGGACAGTTACAAAAATAGCACACTAAAATAACACATCAACCAATTACAGCCAAGGATTTTCCTAATAGGAAATGAAATGTCAAGATCAACTGATCAGCCCATACTCGTAAACGCGAAATCCAATATAAGGCATTTATCAAGTGAGTTCTGGGAATCTAACGTCCCCAACAACTTTATACCTCATATCAAAACTTCTCGCACTACTTAGTGGGGCCTTGGGACGCTCGGATTAGAGTAGCCTGTCGTGTCGCTAACTCATTTGTCTTCGCTCTCGTTTACCAACTAAGGTGACAAACTTTAGATTGTTTTGTTGTAATCTAAACGTTATGCTTTTTAAATTATTCATTTATGCGAATTGTATTCTAATTGATTAGAGTAGTCATTCAACATTGTTTGTATGGAATAGTTTTCAAAATTTTTATCACCCTGAACTATGTCAACAAAGAAGTGATGTACGTTTTGTATAATCTACTGAATTGTTTAAGGATAAATGGACAGTTAGTACAAACTTAATGTGTACAAAGATCGATTCTGGTTGACTAAGAATACAAAAAAGGAAATAACTTAACATTGGTTACCAGACATTGTCCTGTCAGGTGTTTATTAACAATTGTCTATGCAAGATATTAAGGACCCGTTAGTCAGACATGATCAGCACTAACGTAATGTGGGATAAAAAAAAACCAGATTCCATTTGAGCAAGAAATTAGGAAAAACCATTGGAGGTGGATAGGGCATATTTTGTGGAAATCATCCAGCTGCATCACGCGGCAAATCTCAACTTAGAATCCGCAAGGTTAAAGGTGAACAAGTAGACCAATTAACACACTGTCTGATATTGGAGACACACATGAGAAGGATGAAGAACAATTGGATAGAACTAGAAAGGAAGGCTTAGGAAAGAGTGGGTTGGAGAATGCTGGTACGAGGCGGTTAATGCTCCATTAAAGGTAGCAAGTTTAAGTAAGTAGTGTTCTGTCAACTTTGTATTTGACGTATTTTTCGTTCTGTGAAAACATCTCTAGTTGCAATATTCTCTCAACGAAACATTAAGATAATAGAGAGGGTCGATAGGTAGGATATTGATTATTTTTGGAAGTCTAATTCTATTGGTTAATACCTACTGGTCAATATTATGGTCATCCTGACTGTCAGTGTTACATAATTCAATGTTGTTTCCCATTCAACCTAACTGTATAAATATGCATTATCGGTAAAGCTTAGAATCCCTTCATTTATTCCTTCTGTACTCGACCCCGTAAACAACTTCATCTAAACAGTGTTGTGTTCCGATATATTGAAGATTTGGGAACAGTATTAGGGGTCATACTGAAATATCTTAATTTGGTTAATCGGTAGGATTTCGAATAGCAGCTACATAGCAGCATTATAAGAGAAGATTTTAGTGAAGTCTCATTGCCTAAGCTAAAATGATTTAAACGCACAGTTTTCATTGTATCAACACAAAACTTCAGGCAGAAGGAAAGCCTTATTTGAAACTATGAATCGACCAATGTTAGACAAACCATTAGAAACCTGGAAGCACTGAAATACGGCCGTTTCGTCCTGGTATGGAACTCCTCAGCAGTGCGCATCCACGACTCCTGCACCCTGCAGGATTCGAACCCACGGACCTTCGGTATTGTAGGCGAACGCCTAACTATCGGACCACTGAGCCAGAATGAAACGGCCGTCTTTCAGTGCTTCCAGGTTTCTTCTAATGGTGTTGTCTAACATTGATCGACTCATTGTTTCAAAAATGTGTAACTTAACAATCTTCACAACAACCCCGTAATGCAGAAAGAAAGTCTAACAAATATCTCCATGTGCGATAAAAACACTTCGCCCCGTTGACTTTGATTTTCATGAGTTATTGTTAACCTTTATTTAACCTTTTATTATTTGAATTTTCTTTTATTTTGATTGTCTTCCTATTTGACCTAACACTTCATCGTATGTTATATATACATATATTTGTGCATGAACTTTTCCCTAGTTAATTGATAAATTAGGTCGATTTCAATTGTGTGTTTTTCTATTTCTTTCTATCGATTGGCCCTAAAAGCCAAAATGGTCAAAAAAACGTCTATTGGTTTTCTTTGTATCCTTTATTTTTTTTCAAACAAAATTCGCGAGATTTCAAATATTAGTGTCCATAATTGTCCATACATGTGTTGGTTGATATGAGTGAAGACGGTGGCCAATTTATCTGATCTAGTGTTTCTGACATTTGGAAAGGTGTATTTGATAAATAATTGTTATCTTTTGGTTTGTATATAAGATGAATTTGAAAATAAACACTTTGACCAACCAATCAATCAAACAGTCTTTCGTTAAACAACAACACAACTTAAGTTAATCGATTTCTGTCTTTTATTTAGTGCTGGGCCGCGGGGGGGGGAGCGCATAGCTGTTTTTGGTAGATTGCTGTGCTCGTCACTTGATATGCTTGAAGCTATTACGAGTTCACCTTAGTTGATAAACGAAAACGAGACAATGAACCAGTGACACGGTAGGCAACTCTGATCCGTTGCCCTAAACAAACTGACGAAAAAGTCTTGATATAACGTAGAAAGTGTATTCAACAAACACCCAGCAAACACAATGAATCCAAACAAACAAATCGCGTTTATTTATAAATCATAGAAACGTCCTTAGGAGATTCACAAAAATAGCACACTAAAATAACACAGTAACCAATCACAGCCAAGGATTCTGCTAGTGGGAAATGTGATTTCAAGGTCAATTGATCAGTCCATGGACAAAATCCAAATTTAGGACCTTAATCAAGTGAGTTCTAGGAATCTAACATCCCCAACATAGATAGACAAGTGTAATATACAAGAGTATCACTATTGTTTAAAGAAATTAGCAGATAACATTATGTAACGTTAATTCACTGATATCATTTTTAAAAGCTTGATTATACCAACATTTTTTCACATTAACAATGTCATTACTCAATAATAGCTTTATAAATTCTAGTTGAGAAATGATTTATTATTTTATTTTGAAATCATAGATTGATAAATGTTGGAGCACTAATGGAAACCTAGAAGCACTTGACGCCCGTTTCGTCCAAATAACGGACTCTTCAGCAGTGTGCATCCACGATCCCGTCATAGGGCGTCGATCTCACGCATGAACGCTTGACGTCTAGACCCTTGAGCCGACCGGCACTCAACGGAGTTAATGTCTGAACTCAATCGATCCACGAAAATTGTGCAACCAGTGAAGTTAAACCGTGCCGGGCGTGAGGCAGTTACTCACTAAAGACAATCGGAGATAGTCACGCAGTATAGTGGATTGTTTAAGGTCGAACATTAACGCTGTTGGATGTCGGCTCAATGGTCTAGACGTTGAGAGTTTGCACGCGAGGCCAAAGGTCCTGGATTCGATCACCAAACGAGAAGTTGCATAGATACAGGTGTTTAAATGCCGAAAGTGAGATAGTTATCGCCTACAACATTAAATAATAGTCCCACTGTATCTAAATCCAAATTAGAACAATACCGTTGGACTCTACTAACTGTTACGCATAAACGTCAACATGTCAGTTGATGATATGCTTGAACTATTACGAGTTTACCTTAGTCGGAAAACGAGAGCAAGGATCGAGGATTCGGTGATACGACAGGCTACTCTAATCCGAACGTCCCAAACCCCCATTGAGTGAAAAAGAATACTTGAAAGGAAGTAGAACATGTATTCTACAAGCATTCGGAAAGTACAAGGTCCGAGTCCAGATGAGAATCAGGATCCTAAACTAGGGATCCGGGTCCGGGTCATAAAACGTTACAGATAATGTGTATTTATACAGTCAGATCGAATACTGACAGTTAAGACGACCAATAGGAAACAAGATTTGAAGTGACATTGATAGTCAAGACGACCAGTAGGAACTGACCAATAGAATTAGACTTACAAACAATTATCCTAGGATATGAGATGAATATCCTAACAATTCTAATGGCTAAGCTTTCTCAACAAGGCATGAACGATCTAGGTTCGGTTTCCTGGTAGAGTTGTGCACGTGCACGTGCACGCTATCACGAAGTCCCAAACTACGACGAAACAGATTTCCAGTACTGAATACTTTTTTCAACAGTATCCCTATGAATAATACAAACTACAGTTTAAAATAAATCGGAAAATATAGGTAGATCTCATGTACAAACCATAAATAATTGATCTAATACAGATCATAAAACTTTTCATGTCTACACAAAAAATAACATGAATCATCTTACAAGTATGTTGAACTGGAACTATTAGGTGATAACAATTGATCTGTATTTATGGATTTCATTAAATGACTAGTTTCAATAAAACCAGAATCTGTTTGATCATTCGACGATTGTCGATGAATTGTTTTATAAACCATTCGATTTGTTAAACTATGATGTTCACCAGTCCCAGTTGATTTACATGACCATGATGATCGTACAGGAGATGCTGGATCTGGTACAGATGCTGAGCCATGTGAATAATATCGTGTCTTTCCACGATTATATGAATGTGTACGAATAAGATTTCGTGATTGACCAGATCGAGTATTGTAAGCAGTAGGCTTTAATTATTGGCAAGAATAAAACAAAGAAGAAAATTTTGCATGTAAGTAAGTAAGTAAGTAAATAACTGTGCATTGTTGTGGAGATTGATAAGTTACTTCTTGCAATCATGAATTGATCAATGTTAGATCACCATTAGAAACCTGGAAGCACTGAAAGACGGTCGTTTCGTCCTGGTATGAGTTTCATCAGAAGTGTGCATCTAAGACTCCTGCACCTCGCAGGATCCGAACCCAGGACCTTCGGCCGTGCGCATGAACGCCTAACTTCTGAACCACTGAGCAGGTACCTAACGGTGTTCATATCTAGGTTCGATCAACACACCGTCTTGCATAACCTCAGTCCCATACCAGTACGAAACGGCCGTCCAGTGCTTCCAGGTTTATAATGGTAGTCTAACACTGATCGATTCATAATTTCATAGGTCTCCAAAAAGTTATCAAACTGAATCACGATGTAGTTTGAATACTCTGATTTAAATAAATCCAACTATGTTGTTATGGTTAGGTGACACAACCGCACTATATATACATCACGGATTAATCTTATTACTTGAAAAATATGCCATCCTAACATGAGGCTTCTTCCCAGCAGTGTACAGATCCACGACACACTACCAAGGATCGAAACCAGGTAATCCAAGTTTCATAGTTAGGCGATTAACCTTTAGATTGGAATTCAATGGTTTATATTGATAACATCAATCACTTTGTGATGTTTTCACCATGAAATGATGTCGAATAGAGAGAGCAATGAGCTTTAAGTAGCTGTTTTTGGGACTCCGGAGAGATGTCCGTTGACGCAACCTCACGGTATATCGAGCTCAGAACCATAAGGATAAAAAAACAAGAATAATATCATTGAACTAGTGAGTCAATGTCCAGGTGGTTTAAATATGTCAAATCTATTCAATTCATAATCTTCCTTCAGCACTATTTGTTAATAAGTATCGTGATTTCCTAAGTTATTATGTAAAGCCGTAATTTTTTGGACCCATATATATAGATAGCGAAGTGGTCGCCTATCACTGAAATTGTATGAAGATCATAATTCGTTATGCCATAAATAAATTTGGAAAATGTTGATCACTTGATAACAACAAAATCTAAAGCCAAAATGTTGCTTTATGATTGGCTTACATCGGCACGAGAACTAGTGATAGGGAGTAAGGTAGTTGAACATGTTGACTACTTCACTTATCTTGTGAGTCTTATTAGTGCTGGTAGCCTGGTGACTGACGAAATCTCAGCACGGCTACAGAAGGCTTGACTAGCATTTGTCAACTTGTGTCACTTATGGCGTAGGCGAGATATCTGTCTACCAACCTAAGAACGAGTCTATCAAGCTCCGTCCTAATATCTGGGTGTGAAACATTGACAGTAAGAGTAGAGGATATTTGATCTAATTTTTGGTCATAGGTGTCTTCGAAGCATTGCTCGTCTATCCTGGGACCACAGAGTAGGCAATGCAACAGTCAGGAAACGGGTACTAGATAAGGATGGTAGATCGATAAATGGAGTAGTGATTTTTCATCAGTTGAGGTGGTTGGAACAATATTACGTATACCAAACTACCGACTACCATGAAGAGCAATGTTTTGTGGGGTAGGAGTAAGTTGGAAGAGAGTGAGGCGTGGTCAAAGCAAAACATGGCACAAATCCATGAAGTCATCATCCCTATCATGATCAACAATCCTTAAAATTAAGCCTACCATAAAACTTCAGCTGATAGGTTGAATGAGAACTTCGTCTTTTCAAGTGCCAGTACATGTTTTCTTCAAAACCCAAATATCTCTGACAATGAAACACCCACCACAACAGTGTAGACTAGTCGTGTATACTTAACAGATCAGTCAGTCAGTCAGTCAGATGCAACGTAGAACTTCGTACGTAAGCACATCAGTTCATGTTGCCATACCACATCAGCACAGAGAAGTAATCGTCAATTCAAATCCAATAGTAGAAGAGGTAGTAAGGGAATTAGAAGTAATCGGAGAGGTTAGGATTAGAAGATACTATTCAAGAGGTATGATTCTGTGAGAAAAGTTTAGAGAGTCGAAACTAGAGGGGTTGAAGAATCCAGAAGATTAGGATTTGAGAGAACACAAAGAATAAATGCACCGGCGCCATTGCGAACGATTTTGAGCCATGTCATTCAAGGTCTCTAACCATCGGTAAGTATCATCTCGCGGACCCCAACCAGGTAGTCGACAATTACCGACATGGCTCAGTCCACTAGTCAATGACTTCATGGATTTCTGCCATGTTTTGGTCTGGCCGCCCCTAGCTTTCTTCCAACCTATTCCTACACTACAAAACAAGGCTCGACGAGGCAGTCGGTGGTTAGGCATACGCAACACATGTCCTAACCACCTCAACTGGTGAAGTTTCAATACTTCATCTATTGATCTGCCATTCTTACCTAGCACCCGATTCCTAATAACAGCGTTGCTCACTCGGGTGTCCCACGATATACGACATTAATCTGTTATACTTAACAGATTAATGTCCAAGTCTCTGTTTATTAAAAGTAGCACAGTTTAAGTATATTGGACAAAGCAAAATCAATAGACATTTGCACATCTGTTCATTTTTTCCAGATATCATTAGTTTCAATGTTAAAATTATGAAACAAATAAATAGTTTTTAATATATTAACTTAAAATGTGTGGTTCTATGGCAGTTTCTGTCATTGAAATGTGTACCAACCAAAGAAGTATATTAACATAATACAGGCTCTCAACTCGAATGCTACTGGTCGAGTGAGAGCTTATAACGAACTGTCATCGAAATTGATTACTTCAAGTAGGAATTATCAGGGCTGTCCACTTTCTTCATCCTTATTCACCTTTGTCATTGAAAAGCTCTTAGAGACGACACTTTCATTGTCTCACTTTTCGGAAGTTGAATTTTTACCAGGAGATCAACGTGTTGACTTAGAATATACCGATGACATAGTTCTACTTAGTGAAGATGCTCACAAAATGCAGAGTCTTCTAACTACCATAAACGACAATGTATATAAGTTCGGGATGTGGTTCTCCTCCTCAAAATGCAAAATGTTACTTCAGGATTGATTGACATCAGTACCTGAACTAGTGATAGGGAGTAAGGTAGTTGAACATGTTGACTACTTCACTTATCTTGTGAGTCTTATCAGCGCTGGTAGTCTGTAAACTGACGAAATCTCAACACGGCTACAGAAGGCTTGACTAGCATTTGTCAACTTGTGTCACTTATGGCGTAGGTGAGATATCTGTTTACCAACCTAAGAACGAGTCTATCAAGCTCCGTCCTGATATCTGGGTGTGAAACATGGGCAATAAGAGTAGATGATATTTGTAGGTAACTAGTATTCGATCATAGATGTCTTCGAAGCATGGCTCGTCTATCCCGGGACCACAGAGTAAGCAATGTTATAGTTAAGAAACGGGTACTATGTAAGGATGGCAGATCGATAGTTGAAGTAGTGATTTTTCATCAGTTGAGGTGGTTAGAACAATGTTACTCATGCCGAACTACGGACTACCATGACGAGCTATGTTTTGTGGTGTGGTTGGAAGAAAACTAGGGGAGGCCCAATCAAAACATCGCACAAATCCATGAAGTCATTGACAGCTGGACTGAGTTATGTTGGTAGGTGTAGATTACCTGGTTTGGGCCCGCGAGATGAAATTGACCGATAGTTAGTGACATTGAATGACATGGCTCAAAATCGTTTGTAATGGCGCAGATGTATCTTTTCTTTAATATTCTCTCAAATCCTAATTTCCTGAATTCCTTGTCACTTTTACCTTCCTCTTTTTCATGAATCATATCTTCAAACCCTAATATTCTCCACTACTGCTCATACTGTAGTGAACGAGAACACAAGGTGAGGGCAACCGAATTGCATTTAAACGGAAATTACAGAGTTACTCAGTAAAATAGGAAAACCATATCGTAAATCGTTCATTTGCAAAATATCAGTTCATCATATCGAACTGGACTGTTCCTGTTGCAAAACATCAATCCATTGTTTGACATTTCACTTATTCATGCGTTTCATACAAATTCCATTGTGTTCTTCTAACTCTTCCTTTCTTGATCTTCCCCCATCTTCTGCTGTCAGACATTACGTTGACACTCACGTCATATACTACTTATAAGTAGCTCGCACCACAATACTTCTACTACCTCTACTACTTACTGTGTGCTAATATGGTATATCAACTTGAACTGATGTACATACGTACGTACATTCGAATTACTACGTTGTAGCCTACTGACTCAGGAAAAAAAATCGATATTAACCTACCATAGATTGTAATCTTGTTAACAATTGATTCATTTTATTAGAATTATGAAATAGAATTGATGAAGAAGTAGTAGTTGTTGCAGTAGTAGTATTTAGTTTTGTACAATTCACATAATTATTCACTAATAATAATGATGGTTCATTATTTTGACATCGTTGACTAATCGTTATATGACAATCATTACCAATAGATTCAGATATATTCAATGATAATAATTGATTCGCCATGGTCAATGGTGGTATCATCATATCATTATGATTAGTAGTATTATTAGGATGAAATAAATATTTTGAAATGGTAGAATTTTCAGAATTTCTACGTTTTATATCATAATAATTATTCATGTCATGATGATTATTCTCACTGTTGAAATGATGCGGTGCTACAATGAAATGTTCAATACTCTATGGAATATATGAGAAGAAAGAAAAAAATCAATACATGTGATCAATTTTTAATTGAACGAGACATACACACGAGCATGTTGTTGTTATTGGTTAGTCTGAGAATAGACAGATTGTCGAATAATGTAACGTGAGACAGGAATAGTTTTAGAGTAGGGGAAATAAAAAATCAAGAGGGAAAATTATAATTATGTAATCGATTGGATCAATTAGTTGAGAAAGATCAATTACATTACGAGGTTGTGAAAATTGTTAAGTTACATATTTGAAATCATGAATTGATCAATGTTAGACTGCCATTAGAAACCTGGAAGCATTGGATGGCCGTTTGATCTTGGTATGGGACTCATCAGCAGTGCGCTCAGTGATCCAGAGATTAGGTGTTTGCGCGCACAACAGAAGGTTCTGGATCCAAATCCTGCGAGGTGTAGGAGTCGTAGATGTACGCGGCTGATGAGACTCATACCAGGATGAAACGGCCGTTTTTCAGTGCTTCCAGGTTTCTAATAGTGGTCTAACATTGATCAAATCATGATTTTAAACGATCAATTAGCTTGTTAGTTCGTTTTGAATACATATTTATCTTATAGTTTGTAACTTTCACATGGTTTATGAGCATATTTGTCAGTAGTGTTAATATTACTTAGTTGTAGGGAGTTGGCATGCAATCCTGAACCTAAGCCTTGCATGGTCGGCACAAAGAAACAGATACTCTCGGCAGGAAATGATCAGCACTCGTAACTAGACAAACATTGTCCACCATTCAGTCAGCAGCCAATTAATTAACTGTAAATATCTCAATATTTCAGAATTTTAATTGGTGCTCAGATTCCTAAGATTGTGAAACTTGGTGATCTGGCCTCAAATTTCACAGAATATATTAATCTCGTCACGATTGGAAGAATGTTTTGCAGATGAATAGCAGCTAGGACGAAACTTAGATGAACTGGGGTTATTCTTCCGACTAATTCCAATTACTTAATATCAAATATACGACACGCAAAATCAATTCATTTAGACTAGGAGCCACACTGCAACTTAAAGTACAGAGTTCGATCAAAACTAACAATTAGACAAGTATGCTAGGCAGTGTTTCCTACAAGTCAACATAAATTGAAGAACCATTGAAGACCAGACATTATTTGATAAAAATTTTAGTTTGGGACTTCTCAGTTATGTGCGTACAACATATTCAAGTCTTTTAATGAGCGCGTTACGTTTCGATCATTGAGTCCTAATCTGATGGCTTACATTCAGAGTACCATTCAGTTTTAGATATGTTTTGACGGTCACCTAGTGACGTCATTGATGATTATTTCACTTACGATATAGCCGAACTCCAATGGCTGCGACCTTTAATTAGAATCTCGGGAATAGAACATTTAGACCACTGATGCCGGCCGGCATCCAACTGTGCTAATGTCTAACTTCAATCAGTTCACGATATTGAGTGATCATCACCCATTGTCTTCGATTGGCAACTCAGTCAGTCAGTCAGTCAGTAACAATTTAGAACCTCGTACATATGTACGTACATCAGTTCAAGTTGTTATTAGCACGGAGATGCAATTGTCAATTCGAATCTAATAGTAATAGAGGTAGTAGAAGTATTAGCAGTAATCGAAAAGATACGATATGAAAATATGATTCGAGAAGTACAATCCAGTGCAAAAAATTTCAAAAGGGAAAAAATGTCATGAGGAATTCAGAAGGTTAAGATTTGAGAAAATACAAAGAATGGATACATCTGCGCTACTGTAAACGAATTTGAGCCATAGCTGTTAGTGGGACATAGATGGAATTAAAGCAAGACTACGTTGCTGCGCGCTGATTGGTTAAATTCCTATCCAAGCAGCGCCTGATCGATTCTTGGAGAATAGGGTAGAAAGTTCTCGTGTTGTTAGCTGCACGCTGATTGGCTACATCTAATCCAGTCGATCATGTAAATTACAATCCAGAAGCTTCTCATGTAAAACCTATAAGGACACTAACGTTGTATCTATTTCGCCTTCGCCTTCGGCTTCGTATTTCCATCTAATCTTGCTATTTGGAATATAATCTTTACCTGTTCCATCGTGTTTTTAATTCTTTGGAAATTGTCCAGTGTATTGTGTGATCAGAGAATACTAAGCAACAGGAATTAGCTGGGAATTATTCAAGCAAGCGTTACAACAATATCATTCAAAGTCTCTAACAACTATCGTTGACTATCATCTCGCCCACTCCAACCTAGTAGTCAACACCTACACTTATATATATGACACAGTCCAGTTGTCAATATCTTCAAAGATTTATGCCATGTTTCAGTTTAGCCGCCTCCTCTAACTTTCTATTGGTAACTGCTGCACACTCGATAAGGTTGCAGGTACACCGGTCACGATTTGTCATCAAAATCTTGAGAAATTCATCCAAGAAGCTAATATCACTAGTGTTAGCACATCAGTAAAAAAATCGTTATTCGATAATCTACATTTTTTCGTTTACAATTCATAATAATAATAATAATAATAATAATAATAATAATAATAATAATAATAATGCAAATCTAACTTACTTGATTGTTTAAATCGAATTCATTTGTCATAACTTTCTTATTGTTGTCATTAATATTATGATAATGATGATGATGATTTGAATATGAAGATGTAGTGAATAGATTGTTTGATGATGATGATGATGATGACGACGAAGAATTATCTGGTAATTTCATAGTAATCGATAATGGGAGACAACCAGTTTCGTCGGTCGATTGAGCTAGATCAATAAATATACAAATAACGGAAAATACAGATGTAATAATAATTACTGATAAGCAAAAAAAAATCAAATTCGAAATTTAAAAGAAATATTAACAACAAAATAATTAAAATCATCGGGTTGAGGTGGTTGAGACATGTGTTGCGTATGGCTAACGACCGACTGCCTCGTAGAGCTATATTTTGTGATGTAGGAATAGGTTGGAAGAAAGTTAGGGGCGGTCAGACCAAAACATGGCAGAAATACATGAAGTCATTGACGAGTGGACTGAGCCATATCGGTAGGTGTCGACTACGTGGTTGGGGTCCGCGAGATATTAGTAATCGATGGTTAGAGACCATGAATGACATGGCTCAAAATCGTTTGCAATGGCGCCAGCGCATTTATTCCTTGTGTTCTCTCAAATCCTAACCATCTGAATTCTTCATCACCTTTATCTTTTTAAGTTTGTTTCACTAGATCCTACTTCTTGATTAATATCTTCTAATCCTAACCTCTTCGACTACTGCTAATACCTCTACTACTATTGGATTTGAATTGACAATTACATATCTGTGATAACGTGGTATGGCAACATGAACTGATGTATGTACGTACGAAGTTCTGAGTTGCTACTGATTGATTGATTAAATTAAAATCAAATCTTCATGAATTCAATTGAGTATAATTGATATGCTTGAATGCCGTTACGAGTTCTACCTTACTCGGTAAATGTAGAGCGAAGACAAATGATCCAGTGACATGATAGGCTATTCTGATTTGATTGTCCCTGGGCCCTACTAACTATAACAAAAATTCGTGATATGGCGTAGAAAGTGGATTCTACAAGCAGACAGAAAATACGAGGTCAACAAGCACATAAATCGAGTTTATTTATTTATACATGATAGAAACGCCCATGGTGAGAGCCACAAAAATAGAACACTAAAATAATACATCAACCAAGAACAGTCAAGGAATTTCTGAGTGGGAAATGTAATCTCAAGGTCAATTGAGAAGCTTATGCGCGAAAACGCGAAAATTCAAAACTAGGACCATTTTCAAGTCAGTTCTCAAAACAAGCCTTCACTCCTAATCCTCCAGGCCAAAGGAAAAGAGAAAGAGCAAAGACTACATTTTGCTCAGAGATGGAGAGATAGACATCAAAAGAATGTACTGCGATTGGATAGACCTGTCG